TCACTGATGCAAGCAGTGCTACACAATAGGGCTTTTCGGGAACGCTGTCCCGATTAACCCGATCACCAATGAACGCTATTGAAAAAAGACAATTTACATCAGTCGGTGATCGGGTTAATCGGAACACCGTTTCCGAAAATGCGTGTTATGACCTTGATCCGAAAAATACCGACAGATGAGCAAACCTGTGTAGGGTATAATATCACGTATCCTTGGGTCTGATCCAAGTCATCCAAGAGATCCACTTTTCCGCATTACTTTTCCGTACTAGTGCGGAAAAGTAGTATACCTAATATTGGTAGGTATACACGTACTTACAGGTTACAGGTAGACTACAGACAGATGCGGAAAATTTTAAAAAAGTATATTCCTAATAATTGGTACAAATATTAACTTTCATCTCGTAGAAAAAAATAGTATTCCTAATTCGTGCGAAAAGTCTCTTTTTCTCACTCGATTGCTTTCTGCCATCGCGAGCGGAAAAGTGACACTTTCCGCACTAGTTAGGAAATATATACGTACTATTTAGGAATGGCATGGCACCAAAAATAAACCTTTAGCTGTTTTATGCCGCCTTTGGCTGAGCACCCATACAGATTTCGGAAAGTCGGCGCCTATGAAGAGAAAAATACAATAATAGAAACAAATCTCAAAATAAACATTGGGAAGAGCAAAAAAGAAATGATAGAAAAAGTATCTAATTAGTAGGGTCTGATATGACTTCGTTTTTAAGTCGTGCTAAAATTGTGAAATAAGTTTTATTTACGACTGACATATAATGTAAGTATTATTTATGATTTTGGCAGTTTAATGACATCTATTATTCCCGCAGGGAAATGGTCATTATTCCTGCTTGCACACCAATCACAAAATTTTTCAAATTAAATAAGTAGGTAGTACCATGGAAACAGTATAGAACAAATTCAGTGTCAGTGTCAAACGCGTATTGCTTTTGTATTTGTATTGAGATGGATGAACAAAGAGCGTTTTTGGAAAGAAAATTTCAAATAAATTAATTTGTCGTAAATAAAGTAGAGTATACTACTCGCAATAATGGCTATTATTCCCTCGGAATGTTACTCCCTCGCCGCTAACGCGGCTCAGTTCGTGGTATAATCTACTATTAATGTGTAGTATATTGACTTGTCATTCTCAAAATTCATAGTGTGATTCGTAGGTATATTTTTTACAGGGGTTTAAGAAATGGCGAACTTCACAGGTTTCGAAATTGCTAAAAAAATGGACCCCGCACACTTCTTATGGGATTTCTGACCGTTGTTATAGTTCTCATCTTTCTGATCAATCACTACCATGGGCACAACTTAATTCTATGACTAGTTTTTGCGATACAGAGGTAGTTTAATGTCCAATAAATGTACAAATTTTATATGCATTTACATCTACCTGTCACTTGAGCGTGATATCCTGTCTATCCTGGTATATTAGGTGACTGGTATAGTATTTTTAAAACCTATTTAGAAGTACCTGTCGTTTTAGTGACAAAACGTATGTCGCTTCTTGACACACAAATAAAATCAGGTTAGGAATTTCCTATTTATTGATGAAATTGACGTATTAGCAATCGACGTTCGTTTTTGTTGGTAATTTTTTGTTTCATCTGATTTGTGATTGATAAATAAGGATAAGGTTATTCTAAATGGGTATTACAAATACTATAGATGTAAATGCATATTAAATGTGTACAGGGTGGGCATTTTATTAGGGGCCTATGTCTTTTCTCAGAAACTACAGGGTGTACAAAAAAATATAAATACAAAAGTTTCTTGGTTTTAAGCAATGTTGTCAATTATTTGCGTTTTATTTATACAGGGTGTCCCAAAAGTGCTGCACCGACTTCAAAACCAGAATTTTTAATGGAACACCCTGTATGTTATTGCATATTTGGATTCTACGTAAAATTCTGAGCAGATTTTATGCAATATACTCTGGGTATACCTAAGTTCAACTGTTTTGGAAATATTGACAGTTGAAAATTGCCTTTTTGCAACTTTGACAGGCTGTAAAACCTAAACGGTTAATTTTAGACGAAAACCGATTATACGTTCCTATCTTTTTTTATTTTTTTATCTAAATCTAACCGTTTAGGTTTTACAGCCTGTCAAAGTTGCAAAAAGTCAATTTTGAACTGTCAATATTTCCAAAACAGTTGAACTTAGGTATAGGGTATATTACATGAAATCTGCTCAGAATTTTACGTAGAATCCAAATATGCAATAACATACAGGGTGTTCCATTTAAAATTCTGGTTTTGAAGTCGGTGCAGCACTTTTAGGACACCCTGTATAAATAAAACTCAAATAATTGGCAACATTGCTTAAAACCAAGAAATTTTTGTATTTATATTTTTTTTGTACACCCTGTAGTTTCTGAAAAAAGACATAGGCCCCTAATAAAATGCCCACCCTGTACATACATTTATTGGACATTAAACTACCTGTATCTCAAAAAGTAGTCATAGGATTAAGCGGTGCCCAGGGTTATTGAACAGAAAGGTGAGATCTATAACACACTAAAATTTGGTTAAATTTGACCGCGGTCAAAAATCGCAAAAGAAGTGTGCGGAGTCCTTTAGAGGAAATACTCAAAGTTTTGAGGCGTGCGAACTTGAAGTTAAATTTGAAGAAATGTTATTTCCTTTTCGAGACTACCTATAGATTACTTGGGTTTTGAAATATCGTCAAAGACGTCAAACGGAATTAAAGAATGGAAGAAAATTAAAGTGTGTTTTAGACTTTCCTGAACCTAAAAATGTGACTAATATCAGACAATTCTTGGGACTTTGCTCATATTTCCGTCGATTTTTCCGTAATTAAGCATTGAAGGCCAAACCCCTAATACATTTGCTTTCTAAAGATGTAGAATTCAAATAGGACGCAGAGAAGCAGCAGGTGTAGATAAAAATAAGAAAACCTAACAGATCGTACACAGAGATGCCAGCTTAACTGGATTTGCTAGTATGATTCTTCAGAGAGAGGCAGATGATCTGATGCACCCTGTAGTAGATGTGAGTAGACAGACTACAGCCGAAGAACAGAAATATCACTCATCAGAATTGGAAACTTTGTGCTTTAGCTTGGGCATTGGAGAGATTGAGAGTATACCTCATCGGCATATAGAATTTGTATGTATTACAGATTGCAATGCATTGTTCATTCACTAAAAAGCATTCCAAGAATAGGTCGTTGGTGGCTGAAAATGCAAGAGTATAGATTTGACGTTATACGTAGAGCTGCGACAAGAATGGCGCATGTAGATGCGTTGTCACGCAATCCGATTGTCCAGACAGAAAAAACAGATTGCTCAGATGGTTTCCAAGTAATGATGAACACCCTTGAAGAAGATGATTGTTTATATTTATATCAGAAAGAAGATCCAAAACTTAAGAATATTATGGAGGTATTAGCCAAAAAGTCGAAATTCATGCGTCACATGAAGAATACTTATACTCCGAATGAAATACAATATTTTATTTTCAAACAATCTTTATTCCGGATAGTGCAGAATTTTAAGGCACGGAATATTAAGACAAAAATCTAGGATAATAGCAACAAATCTCAAAAGAAATATTAGGAAGAGCCATGAAGTAATGATAGAAATAGTAATAGATGAGAATAAATGCCTGAAATACGTAAAATAAGAAGATGGATTGATGGAACAGAGAAAATGGATAACCAACATTAAATCAAAGGACTCAGGTTTGGGCTGATACGATGTACTGGTGGAAATAGTAATGATGGAGAAACCAGAAAAACCAACCCATACATTAAAACATATCGTGTAAGGCATTTTAAAAATCTGATCCCAAATATTTCATTGAGTTTTAGAAGTAGGTAGGTACCTACCTACCTAAGCATTCTACTGTAAAAAAGAAGCATTGGAAAACAAAATGCTGTGACACGACGTTTATAATGACCAATTACACTACTCTACAAACAAAAAGATTTGGTTCGCAACAGAAACCAGAGTATCATATCCTGGTTGAAACGCTATTGCTGAAGCTAAATTTTATTACAGAATTTCATTATCACGTCAAGATTTTTAAATAAAAATTGATGTATAATTTCTTTTTCCAAAGATTTTGTTTTGATTTTTTGACAATCTACTCAAATATCTCGAGTTTTCGTGTTCCCTGATTTTTTTATCCAATTGATAGGCGTTATGTAGTTAGGAGTATATAGGAAGTTTAAATTTTTATATAAAAAAAAATTGACGTGATGGAGATATTTTATGATTTTTTTAGGAATCAGGACTGCTTAATGAAACAAAAAATATATGGCGCTACTGTGTTGCGAATTCCTTGTAAACTAGTGTTATTAAGTAGGTTTGCAAATATTGAAGCCAGTTTTGAGCTATTGAATAATAAATACCGCTATGGGGCTATAAATAAATTGATAATAACCAGGCTTTTTCAAAGTCCATTTAAATTATCACTAACTTTACCTAAGTAATAACAAAAATCATATTTGCACTTTAGAAAATGATATAAAGAAGCACAAAATTTCAACTCAGCTGTACTTCAATCTGCTTTAATCACTTAGCATTTTATTTATAGAGCAGAAAATACCTCTTTATACAATTATAGAGCTTTACTTTATAGCATATTATGTAAAACCTTGGCATTGGAAAATTCATATTATCAAGTAGACGCACCCTTTAACTGTTTAGAAATACATAATGAATTATATAATAAATTAATTTTCCTAGCTTAAATCATTACCTAATGTAAACTTGAATAATAATAGTGGCTAATTAATTATTCAACAAATAAATTACACAAGAAAATACTTTTCATAAACAAATTTTGTGTTGTTCAATTAAACTCCCCTCAGTTTCCATGCAAATTGGCTTCTACGCTTAACAGCCCGAAAAAAAAATGCCTTATTTCCATAGAATCTCGATTTACCCTTAAATAACCTATACAAACCCCTAATAAATTAAAGATGGCCCTATATAAGTAAAGGTATATAAATGATCCTTACCTAATCCTAATAAAACACAGACCTATTACTATGAGTACATATAAGATTTTCAATTAACGTGTACACTAAAATAAAACACGAAAATCCTTCCAGCAATTCGTATAAAATAGGGGAGTTAGGGCAAAGCGCGCTCTGCTGCTGCTCCCCCGGACTAAAAAAAAAAATTGCTCCCGGATCCCGGAGTCCGGAGAAACGTTCCAGAGACTATACTGTGTCGTTTTTCGGGCTGCAGGAATCGGGATTGTACGCGCAAGCTTCGGATATGCCCTGCCTTCCAGCATTGAACGAGAGAAAACGGAAACTCGACTATTGGGGCTTCGCTTTATATCGATACATTGGGGAATTTGGCTCTAAAACTTTGTTACCTACTGTAGAATTTAACAATTATTGAAGTTTGATTGGAACATTTTTTTGGGTTAATGAAAGCTTTCTATATGGTTTTTTTTGTTAGTTTGTTTGCTTATATTTACCATTTTTTATTATGCTTCAGCCCTCTATATACGCTATTTTTTTTTTTAAAGGAGAGAGTAAATCAATCAAATGGCCTCTATACCATAGGCGTTCCGAGATAATTTCTAATATAAATTGAATTATTCAATTATTCTAAATTGTAAATAAAAAAGTTAGATATGATTACCTACCTATTTCCACTTTTTTAAAAAAATCAGTCCATATGCCCAACCCCAGACAGCACAGAGGCATCTTAACGACGGCCCTGATGTTCACAAACGACATTCAAAGACGTGTTCTTACGTCTTCAAGGGGTCTTCAAGACATCTAGAAGACGTCGGATGTTACAAAACCCAACGTCTTTCAGACGTCTGCTTAAACACGTCTCCAGGGTCCTTATTCTTAAAACAGGGAGTAGCGTTCCCAGGAGAACGAGTGTTCTGTCTTTCTCAGTGATATGAAAATGATAACTTAGGTAACAAAGACGGAACACTCGTTCTTTTGGGAACGCTTCTCCCTTGTTTCGAGAATAAGGACCCAGGGCTAATATTTCATTATTATTACTCATTTTATAACTTTCAATTTTTGTCTATTCTGAACGCTGGGCTCTTTTAAATTCTTGATTTCTTTTAAACGAAAACATGCACAAAATTCATTATGAAAGAAAAACATTATAGTGTAGGCAAATAAGACACAAATTTGATTAAACCTGGACATTTCAAATAACAAGCTGAAAATATTGGTAAAAATTTTAAGGATATAATCTATTTAAATCCCGAAATTCCCAAAAAATCTATCTTGGGAAAAATCCGCTATCTGGGTTATAGTCCAAGAGCCGGCAATACCAACGGGTATGTGATCGTTGCAATGGATAATTTCTACATAAAACAATAGTTCATAGTAACCTTTGAACCAAATGGATGGGTTCCCTCGATTCTCATGGCCGTAAAGTTGTTCTATAATAAGATACTTCAAGAACCATAAGCGCGACAAATGAGAAGTACCTTGCGGTGTAGGGGATTCTCATCATATGCGGCAAACACTTTATTAACACAATTTTATGTTTTTTTTTTGTCTAAAGACCTACAGCCGTATGTAAAATCCTCTTAACAAAGTCCTCTTTTAACTATAAATGTGACTTTGAAGGCTGTCACTTTCAATAATTTGTATTAAGCAAGCAAAATAACGCGTGCGCTCGACTTTCAATGAGGGTTGCCATCATTTCCGACCATCAAAATCGAGGCCACCCTATGTATTATTTGAGACGACATATTAAAGAATATATCTACCAATTTTCAGCTATTGAAACGACAATATTGTTCCTTCGGAAAAAGAGGGGTAGCTTACGCCCAGCCATCAAAGGGTTGCGGCCATGAGAATCGAGGCCACCCATCCATTTAGTTTAAAGGTAACTATGAGCTATTCTTTTATCTGAAAATTATCCATTGCAACGATCACATACCCGTTAATATTGTCGGCTCTCCTACTATAAGTATTTGTGATGGAATATGCTGAGCTAAAATTTAATTTCGGGACAAAAAACAGGACGCGACGATGAGAATGTGTTAAATTAACCGCACTTAGCAACATGCATTGGGTTGTAGAATGCGCTACTCAGTGGCGTAGCCAGAAATATATTTGGGTGGAGGGGCCCATCTATAATTTTTTCAAATCTAAGCGGCAGTAACGTCACGTAACGTGAACAACTGGTCATTTTCAGATCAGGTAGGATGGACCGAACCAAGACAATACCATAGCGGTTTATGGTCATAAACAAACACCATGAAATGCCACGAGCAGATTTTTTTTTCCCCCAGAAACCCCAACTGAATCCAATCTTGTCCTCCGCACATGCGTACTGGTCCTTGTAGGCGTATTAACTAATAGGAAGGCTAGATACCAGCTGGTGTTCGTTTACATTCAACGTCATTTACTGCAATATAGTATATAGGTATCTGTTTTTAGTGATTTGTAAGGATAAACTAAAAGATCACAAATTGAGCGCATCAAGGCAATTTGCAGCTCACGACAGTGCGCAATAGTGACCTTCGAAATTGTTGTGCTCGACCTTGACATTCCGCAATGAGCACTGCAGTGAAGTGTAGTTCATAAAGATGCGAATCACGAATTGCGAATTGCGGAAGCCGCTCCTATTGGTCAGTCCACTGTCAAGAAAAGTGTCATCTGTCAGAGATCAATATTTTGCGAATTCGCGAAATTTGAAATTTAAAATCTAAATCTGGTTGCTTTCTCATTTTTTGGTTTTTAGATTTGAAATTTCTGGGGGCGGCCCCCCTGGCTACGCCAGTGGCGCTTCTTTACTTGGAGCTCGTTAAATTGTGGCGCCTGAAAAACCGTTGACGTGTCAGTATTATAGAGAATTGTCTGTGATGTATGTATACATGATATATACTATTGTAGGAAAACGCACTCAAGTACTTTATTTAATTAGTTAGATGGTAAATGGCGAGCGGTATATTGATGGTGTTTATTTCCTTGAGCGGCTACCTATAAAATTGTGGTGGGGGTCTATTCGCAAAATACAGAAACAAACTACTAAATTATATTTTATTATACTTAAAACCAAAATTAAAATAAAGCATATTTTTTTCTATGTCTGACAGCCACTTCTATTTTTCCCAATTCAAATTATTTCACATCCGTTCAAATTTCATTACTACGGACCAGGAAGTATTCATACTAAAACCTCCTACTTCTTCTATTCTTAATAACTTATAAGTTTATACATTTACTCTTTTAAACAACATTTCCGATTCACATTCCTATTAAAACTACCCTTCACCTATATTCACCGGGTCATTACATGCGTCCGCCCTTTAAAACCGAAATTATATTGAATAAGATAATTTCGGTCAAATCTTTCAATGTCCCAATATATATATATATATATATGGTTCGGTCGGTGAACCCTCTGTGATTTATGGTTTACTTTTCTCAATTTTAAAAATGTGACGATAATATTATCCGAGTATTTATCAGTTCGTTTAACGTAATTATGTGCAAGCTTTACCTACCCTAAATTTCACATTTCTTAAAAAATATCTGTTATATTTTTAATTTTACACAAAAAAAGTATTACGAAATTTTCCTGTGTATTTTGGCAACTTCAATTACAATAATAATTATTAAAGATTAATTATGAATCTTCACTCAACACTAGATTTTATCCTGGCATCAAAATTTTTGTTAATTTTCTTCATTAATACAATTATCATTTAATATTTTCCTTCAAAATTGTTGATGCTAGAACGACACAAAACAAATTTCAATCTTACAAAATAATTACCCTTGCTTGTAGCCAAGTTTACTTGTAGCGATGGTTGCTCGTTAGGCCTATATTGAGTGGGCCTATATTACTGCCTTCCACTACGAGTCATTGGTTGGTTGCCTGTAGTCTCGCTGTCAATCTCACAGTAGTAGGTATCGTAGCTAAGATAGTTACGATCTGGATGCCCAAGGGTGGTCTCGCTAGTTTGCTAGTTACACGTTACACTTACACCCTTTTGACTTTTCACTTTTCACAACCCTATCTTCGTGGCTACTGGCTCTGGTTGACTACTGCTATCATGGTCTGCGTGATTGCTCCTACTGGCTCGTCTGAGTTTCATTACTAGGACGGCATTGTCCAAACTTTCTATTTTGACATGGATACGTGGTAGCGGAACGAGTTCGTCGTTTTCTTGGTACCTATTATTTTCTAATGCTTCATCCAAAGTTGCTGGATTTCCTGAGAGTACACGTTGTTAAATCGGCATTACCAATCCTAGGGTAAATTGGGTGGCAATGTCTTCGAGAAATTTCTCTTCCAACAATTTATCTGTTGCTGGATTTCCGAAGAATGTAGCGGTTCGGTGCCCCAATACCTTCAATCTAGTTAGGCACTGTCTACATGCTTCACCTGTTCGTTGTTTGCACTCAATGAAGTGTTTCATTGCGGTCCCTTTTACATAATGCCTGCCAAGGAGAGTTTTAAGACTGTCGTTTAGCATAGTTCAGCTTGTGGTAGTTTTTAGGGTTGGCTCCGCTTCTATGTACTGCTTGGCTCGATATCTCAGTTTCAATCGGGCTCAAGAAATTTTCTGCGTGTCTGTCCAGTCAGCTAAAATACTGGTTTCTTCTAGAACATTAAAAATTCTTCGGCACTCGTAGTCCACTGATGGCTTGTTAAAAATTTGCACGTACCGATATAAATATTTCAAATAATTTGGGTCAATGCTAATTTGTTTCATCATCTTTCAATTTATAGATACTGATTTGAAATACAGGAAATTCAGTTTTTGATTATTTGATTACATTTAATTTTTACAGTAAAGACATTGTAAATTACCGGTCTATTTTCCCGGGTCATTACACTATACGTGCAATAGCTGCAGACCGAGCTGATTCATGGGGTGAAGAAGTTCCTTGAAAACTATGCACGAAAAACGATCTCGGATCTAGTGGCTGCTGATGTTCGATACTACCATGACTGGTACGTTTTGCTGGATAGGTTCGACCTACCTACTAATCAAAAACGTTCTCAAGGGCCTCTATGGTAAATCGTCATGTCGTGGTGGACGCTTTGAAGACCAAGGCAAGCTAAGGGGGTTTCAAAAGCTTCGTGATTACCTTGAGGGCAATGAAGAGTACCAGCACCCGTTTCGGGAACTTATTGCCTTCATGACAAACACTTACCCTAAAGAGGAACCGTATAGTCAAAAACATCTGAAGAGAAAACTACAGAATTTTTACGGGGAAAGTATCATCATTACTAAAAAGGCAAAAAGGGATCTTTTAAGCAGTTCAAGCAATGCTTCTTTAAGTGAAATAGTATGCGACTTCAACGTATCGAATGCTACGCATCAGAATATTGCGGTTGCAGGCGAATGCTTTTTTCTTGTATTGTACAGCTGTGGAGATGAAGGCAACTTAAGCAACGCCTGACATCGGCTCTACCAGAGGACAGTTGCCAAACAGTCAGTCACAACGATCTTTGACGTAGCTACACTTCCGCCTACATCTGCAACGGCCAAATAACATTCATACCGAGTTAACCACCAGGTAAGGAACAAATTGTTCATCATTTGGTTACCACCGGGCACTTGGAACTAATACGCCTTATAAATTTTAGGTGCAAGTATGGAAGGGGAATTGCCTGCCGGAGGCAGAATGGGGATGGATTGCGCATGCAGGTCAGCTAAAGCTCATTCCAACTATACAAAAGAACTGAGGGAACTTGCACATTTTTTTTTTTTTAAATTCAAAAATGTGTTCTACTTCACTAAAGACATAATCATGCCAAATATCAGGCATTGAAAATCAGCCGTTAATCTTTTATAAATATTTGAAGTTACGCTCGAAACATCGCCATTTGAAACGAGCCATCAGTGTGACGTCACTCGGCAACAAAATTCCGATCACAGTGACGAGGACTTCGAACTTCGAGCAGGTAAAGTCCATTCCAAAATAATTCGTTGACTCTTCAAGTATCAATAAAATGTTGATGATACCCTCAACCACAAACTTCGACTACCTGTGAGCAGGTCCGGGTTGATTTTATTTATTATACCTGCCTAGGTGAGATGTACATGTAAATGTGGGTGAATGTTTTAGTTAAATTATTTAGTCTTTGTGCAGAACTAGAGCGGAACTAAATATAGATTAGGTTTGGTTGAATTGTGTATTGTATTATATTGTATTAGATATTAAGTTTTGGTAATTATTAAGATAGTATAAGATTATAACATAAATAAATAATATTATGAAACGCCTTTTTCGTTTTCATTATAATGGGCACAAAATCCGTACCTGTAAACCTTTGAGTGGGTATTAAGGAACCCGGTACCTACATAAAAGAACCTGGTACCTACACAATAGAGGCTAATAGCTATCTAATTTATGGTAGGGTTTTATAGCCGTGAAGTCAACGAAATATTTTGGAATGGACTTTAGATTAGGATTATGGTTATGTTGAATTTTCCAAGATATTCTAAAGACGAATTCAACAAGATGTCTTAAAGGCGTATTTGAATCTCTTTTTAATACATACACCATTATTAACTTTTGCTTTTAGGCTCAGTTGTCTTTATATAAGATGTGAATTTACATCCTGTGGACCTCTTCTAGACGTCTTTTTTTGGTCTTCAGACGTTTAGACGCAATGCAGACATAAAAAAGACGCCTTAAAAACTTTGTGTGCTGTCCGGGAAAGTGTACCTGGCGTACGTTGCCATCTAATCAATGAATTCCCTATTGAATTCGGCCAATTACTGGGTGATGTATGCTTGCTTATGCAGGTTAAATAAAGATATGTCATTGAATAAACTAGAAGGCTTATGATGACAGGGCCGCCCTGTAAGAGTTTTTCAAAGTAAATTTTCAATCATGGCCATAGTTTTTTTTTTCAAATTTATTACCTACTACTCTCCAGCATTTCGAGATAGAGTATAGCTGCTCAAAATACACTAGTTTTGGGGCAATGAGTGAGATACCTATAATATATATTTTTTAAGTTTCGGCGCCAGCTGAAGAGAAGAAAGTAAGAAGAAAATTTTCAAATGACACGAATATACAGGGTAGGTATACTCATAATTTAGAGGCAATAGTCCGGGGGCCGAGGACCTTTTTTCCAAATCATTAATAACAAGCTAGTTTTTTCAATGCAGCTTCATTTCACCGAGACGCCCAACTTTTTTCTCTTCGAAAATTGCGAAAACAGGTAGCTAACATACTGCGCAGGTGTAAAACATGTCGATTTGGTGACTATGAAAAATTAATTAATAACAGTTAGTTTTTCAGCTAAATGTTGAGATAGTTTTATGAATAACTTGAAACAACATTTGTCCGACAAAATAAGGGGTTTGGTCTACGATGTCCCCCCCCTCAAACATGTAGCAATTACGTTGCATAAAAAATGATTAATAACAAGTTGATTTTTTCAATGTAGGTTGGTAAATATTATTACAATTAAATGGTCACACTGTCCTACAAATAAACAGGTAGCTATTTTCAGTCCTACACTCAAAAGTTGTCGATTTCACGATTTAACTTTTTTCATTAATAACCGGATAAATCTTCGTGAGTATCTTCATTTTGATAAGACGCCCAAATTTTCTGTTGCGAAAATTCCAAAAACAGGTAGCTAACAGAGTGTGCAGGTGGAAAACATGTCTATTTGGTGATCATACAAATGTAAATAATAACAGTTAATTTTGTAGCTGAATGTTGAGATAGTTTCATAAAAATATGAAACAACATTTGTCCGACAAAATAAATGGTTTGATCTAGGCTGTCTCCCTTCTCAAACATGTAGCAGATACGTTACATAAAAAATGATTTATAACCAGTTGAGTTTTTTAATGTAGCTTAGTAAATATTACTACAAATAAATGGTTACACTGTCCTACAAATAAAGAGGTACATTTCTCCAGTCCTACACTTAAAAGTTGTCGACTTCACGGTAATACTCTATTCATCAATCACCCGACACCGGCTTAATCTTCTCGAGCATCTTCGTATTGATAATACGCCTAACTTTCCTATTGCGAAAAATTGCAAAAGTAGTAGCTACTAGAGTGAGCACTAGTGAGCACATGTAAAATACCTTGAGATAATTTTATAAATAATTTGAAATTCGATTTGAGCCTCAAAATAAATGGTTTGGTCTGCAGTGTCTCCCCTTTCTCAAAAATGTAGCAATTACTGGCTCATAAAAAACGATTTATAACCAGTTGATTTTTTTACTGTAGTTTGGTAAATATAACTACAATTGAATGGTCACATTGTCCTAATGAGGTAAGATTTCTCAGCCCTACATTGGAGAATTTCGAAAATAGCCTTATGCATATTATACGTAAATATGTACAGGGCTTTCATTTCAAAACTCACCACCCACGTTATCTGCGTAAAGAGACAGATTTCTGGAAAAAAGGATTAAATTCAAGAATTTTACCTTTTGTATTTTGAAAAATATAATTATTAAAATATTTGATTTTTGATATTATTTGAAATGAACATAAATTTAACTATCTGTTTTATTTTTGAGCTGTCGAGAAAATATTATTTGGAAAACTCCTGTATTTTTTCAAGTTCCACGTTATTTAAAAAGAAAAACTCTAACTTAGAAAACACCCTGTATTCACCCTATATACAGCAAAAAAGCGTGCCAGATTTAATACATTAAAAAAGGAGCTCTATTTTTAAATATCTTTAGAATTAAGATGAACCGGTTGGATCAAACCTTCTCCATCTGGGTATGGAAAATGACAAAGGGCATGGCCCCCTCTACTTTGATGGCATGCCAAAACTCTTTTTCGAGCAATTCAAATCTGGCGCGCTTTTTGAATCACCCTATACTACGTTACTGTATTATTTACGAGCATGCACGTCGATGCGAATGGAAACCATCGACATAAATGTAGGTATGTGTACATACACATAACACATATACTGTTATACACGCATCTGTATACGTACATATGTACGTAGGACAGTGTGGCCATTTAATTGTAATAATATTTACCAACCTACATTGAAAAAATCAACTTGTTATTAATCATTTTTTATGCAACGTAATTGCTACATGTTTGAGGGGGGGGACATCGTAGACCAAACCCCTTATTTTGTCGGACAAATGTTGTTTCAAGTTATTCATAAAACTATCTCAACATTTAGCTGAAAAACTAACTGTTATTAATTAAATTTTCATAGTCACCAAATCGACATGTTTTACACCTGCGCAGTATGTTAGCTACCTGTTTTCGCAATTTTCGAAGAGAAAAAAGTTGGGCGTCTCGGTGAAATGAAGCTGCATTGAAAAAACTAGCTTGTTATTAATGATTTGGAAAAAAGGTCCTCGGCCCCCGGACTACAAGTAATACTAAGTAGGTACCTATTTTTTTACAGAAAATTTGCAGTTTCTAGATCTGAGTTGGTGACTGGACGTCATCTCTAAACACATTTTTGACTGAAAGAGATGTTCAAGTCATATTTCAATTGGAAGATTTCTCCAACTTGATTTTACAGCCTCTAAGTTTGAAGTTGTCGTCACCTTCTTAAAGAAGAAGCTTGGCAACATTCTCTAAAGAATACATTTTGAGAAGACTTCATCAGGGTTTATAATATGTCAGAGCTAGGAGCTAGGAGAATGTCCAGTAAGTGTATAGAGGTAAGTAGATTTTTCTGTCCACTCCATACAAGTCCGCCCATACATAACAAGTTTGAAATGCATATACTTCTTTGTATAAAAAATATTTATTAAAATACTTTCAGTCTCTTTATACAAATTAATTTTACACGTTAATTAGAAAGTAAATATTTATTAAAAGTTAGTATCGTACTCGGGCCTGCGATGACGGCCAGAATGTCCGCTGTATTGACTACTATTGCCGTAATTTTTGTAGGCGCTCCATTGACCGTTCCATTGGGATTGCCAGCTGTCGTAGAGGTTCGCTGTGCTGTTATCGTAAAGGGACGAACCATTATTGGGTCTCTGAAAAAAAAAATTATTAATAAAATTTCAATAGATATTGGAGGAATGATGGAAAATGTCAATTTAGAACATTTTTATCAATTTTTCAATTTTTCTGAGTGAAAAAAGTTTCATAGATTTCAACTTCAAATCTGAGAATAATTTAGTGAATAGAGTTTGGGCGATGTTAATTGACCATTAGGATACAAAATCTCAACAAAAAAAAATTGAAATTTTATCGTTTTAGTAAGAAGATGATTTAGATTTTGGAAAACTTTGGAAGGGCATAATTTTTTTTCTATATTATAGATAAAAGGATGAAATTCTCACTGAAATTTATCTCAATAAAGGGACTACAATTCCTGGAAATTTCAGCTCATTTGCACTTATAGTTCCTGAGATAAAATCGTGTTAAGCAATTTGGGGTGAGTTATCAATTTTTCAATTTTTCTGAGTGCCTTTTTTCACAGATTTCGGCTTCAAATCTGAGAATAATTTAGTGAATGGAGTTTGGAGGATGTTAACTGACCATTGGGATACAAAATCTCAACAAAAAAAAAAATTGAAATTTTATTGTTTTAGCAAGATTATGATTTAGATTTTGGAAAACTTTGGAAGGGCATAACTATTTTCTATCATAGATAGAAAGCTGAAATTTTCACTGAAATTTATCTCAATAAAGCGACTACAATCCCTGAAAATTTCAGCTCATTTGCACTTATAGTTTCTGAAATAAAATCGTGTTAAGCAAGTTGGGATGATTTATCGATTTTTCAATTTTTCTGAGTGCCTTTTTTCACAGATTTCGGCTTCAAATCTGAGAATAATTTAGTGAATGGAGTTTGGAGGATGTTAATTGACCATTAGGATACAAAATCTCAACAAAAAAAAAATTGAAATTTTATCGTTTTAGTAAGAAGGTTTACCTTATGATTTAGATTTTGGAAAACTTTGGAAGGGCATAACTATTTTCTATCATAGATAGAAAGCTGAAATTTTCACTGAAATTTATCTCAATAAAGCGACTACAATCCCTGAAAATTTTAGCTCATTTGCACTTATAGTTTCTGAGATAAAATCGTGTTAAGCAAGTTGGGATGATTTATCGATTTTTCAATTTTTCTGAGTGCGTTTTTTCACAAATTTCGGCTTCAAATTTGAGAATAATCTAGTGTAAGGAGTTTGGGGGATGTTAATTGACCATTAGGATACAAAATCTCAACAAAAAAAAAATGAAATTTTATCGTTTTAGTAAGAAGGTACCTTATGATTTAGATTTTGGAAAACTTTGGAAGGGCATAACTTTTTTTTAATTATAGATAGAAAGCTAAAATTTTCACTGTAATTTATCTCAATAAAGGGACTACAATTCCTGAAAATTTCAGCTCATTTGCACATATAGTTCCTGAGATAAAATCATGTTAAGCAATTTGGGGTGATTTATCAATGTACCCACGGGATTCTGGAATAGGACATGAAGCAAGTTCAGTTTTTATTGGTTATTTTGAGGCTTGCAAGCACTCATTACATTACAACATTGAACAAATGATTGTTCAGTTTGTTTATCTTCATGCGCTGTAGGTAGGTATACATAGATGTACTTTGTGAAATTGTTCCATAATTTTCTAATTGGAGAATTTCTAGAAGTACCAACTCTATCACTCATAAGAATACAGTCTAGGACTATTGTTAGTACTTTTTTCTGCTGAAAAACTGCTGCAATTCTCAATCGAAGTATCCACCTTTATTTGGCCTTTTATTTCTAGAAGTCCAAATTTTGTCCCAGAATAGGATTTTTGTATGTCTTGCTATCATTTTGTATGGATCTGCTTCTATAGTATCATCGTTTACGATACTGTTAGCTGTGTACATAGGAATACCTTTTTGAGATTTAAAAATTGATGAAAGAAACTTCAAAGATCAGGAAACTTCATACACCAGACCAATGAACTTGATTCATGCTGGTATGGCTTTAACAGAATCGATTGGAAACTTTTAAGTGTCTGCTACCATGATAATTATTGTTGGTAGTTCTGACTTGTAATGTGGGAGTAATATGTCTGACATTTTTGACTCCATTATGCATTTTTTATTGGTAAATCGTTTAAAGAATGCACTTTGCTTCCTCACAATACCTACGAAAACCTAATGATGTCATACCTGCTTCTTAGGAGGCTTCTGTTGGTAGTGTTTCTCACTCCAAACGTCTTCCATATTGTAAAAATCGTCCACGCCGTAATTTTCAAGTCCACCCATATGGTTTTTATTCAATTCATTGAGCATATCTTCAGTTAGAGGGGCTGGAGTCTTTTTCGAATTCTTATGACGATTGAAAAGCTACAAAATTACATTTAGAATGCATATGGAATATCGTCGCTGAAATACTTACCACTGTTACTCCAAAAACTATGACAAACAATAGAGATGCTAAACCGATTACTATCACAGCTATTGCCCATTGTGGTAGTAAAACGTCATCAGCATATCCTACAGTAGGGAATGGATTTTTGGGAATAACTAAAAAATAATTTTTTGAAACAAATTCATTAACATTAAACTCGGTTTCTTACCAACAAAATCGGTATATTCAGGATCGACCTCAAACTTCCCTAAAGTAAGCCTCTCAGCTTTGGTTTCATTCAAAGATTTGCCTTCTCTTGTTGAAATTCCAAGTGATTCGTGGAAGAGACGCTTGATTTCTTGGGTGTCGACTTTTTGACCGATTTCGTTGAATTCTACCAAGTAGTCAACCAGAACGCTACCTTCACTAAAAATAAAATTCAATCTCAATTGCTAGGTACTCAATAAGTGAGTTTTACTCACCTGAAACCATCTATCCTTATTTTGGTATACCATTTTTGAAGCTTAGGGGAACCGTTGTAAATATTTTCTAGCTAAAAATCAAACAAAAATAATTTATTTTTCACTTTCATAAATGGTTAAAAGATCTCTATCATTTTGAAAATAAAACTTATTATACAGTTTTTAGGCAATTTCGAGCAAGATTATCCAGATTATCCAGAATTTGGGGAATGGAGAATCCACAATTGAATACTACAAAATGTACCAATTAGTGCGGAATTTCAAATGAGATTGAGAACATCCTGTTTTTTTTGAGACTGAACAGGAAACGTGGGAAATAAATGAGATAGGAAAAAATTATTGTTTGTCCATTTTGACAAAATAGATCAGATGTGTAGTTTCAACAAGATAGGGACAAATCTTATAGGATCATGCCTTACTACGACACCTGCTAATTTTTTCTGTGGACTGAAAATCTTTGGTAGACAATGTTGAACAAAATCCATTTGATCTACTGATTTTGTGAGAAACTTGTTTCACAATAAAGATTACCCTGTACAAGTGAATGTACGTTTTCATGCTCCATAGAGTAATCAAGGTATAGGTTAATAATAAATATATGTTTTACCTCAGATTGAACACTATTAGCCAATATCTGATACTCCTTAGTGTTGCGATCGAGCAGCTCCGGTACCCATTTCGCGCCGCCAACCAGCCTAATAGTTCCGGCCAGGTCGCAATTATCAACGCAAATGCCTGAAATCAAATCAAAAACCGCGAATTCATTAAAACGTTTTAGAGTAATTGACCTAGAATTTACCGTCGCGCAAAATGAAAACCTCCCCGGCCCTAGCGGCCTGGGGTAACAGGTTTTTAATTGCTTCCGCTTTCAAACAGATGATGAACAGGAAATCACAAAATAAGAAAAAAAGCTCTACAATTAAATTTCGCAAATGGAAAAACTATTCAGGATTACGTTTCCCTTTAATAAATTATACGTCATAAGCAGAGCGTCGTGGTAATTAGGCACAAACCGCACTAATTACAGTTTGACCCTTCTCTCTAATGCCTAAATTCATCATTTCTCATTTAATTTTGATGAGAGTAATAAGCCTTGCGTTATTAGGTATTTAAAACATAAAATTTTACTCACCTGGTGTTGTTGGTCTAACCGTCGTAGTTGTAGTAGTAGTTGTTGTAGTTGTAGATGTAGTCTCAGTTACAGTTTCAGTTGAAGTACTACTTGCAGCAGCTCGGGCAGCTTCCAGCAATTTTTCAATAGATATTGGCGTAGTTGAAGGTGTTTTCCAACCAGTAAACTCGGTACTTGCCCTAATAGGCCATCCCTTCTGTATTGTAGGTGAAGTTGGCTTGTTCATAACTTCTTCGCTTTGAATTTTTGGTGTAGTCAAACGTGGAGTTTTTTTGGAACCACCAGGTCTACTTGGAAATACAATTTTGAATCCAGATGCAGTTGTAGATGTAGTTGGAGGTGTTGTAGCACTACTAGTACTACTAGCAAAAGCAGTATCATTTAATTTGAAGCCTGGGGGTAGCAGATTATCGGGAATATTTGAGCTAGCAGAAGCAGGAGTTGTACTCTTGCCTTTACCATAACTTTTTTTATATCCCGGAGGTAGCAAGGCACTTATATCATCGACAGGGACGGCTTTTGATAAAATTTTATTTACAGATTTTTCAGTTGAAGTTGAAGCCTTATTGTAACCTGGTGGTAAAAGGGCACTTATATCATCTACAGGTTTAGCTTTGGATAAGATGCTTTCAGGTTTTGGTTTGTATCCAGGTGGTAGCAGTGCACTGATATCGTCAACAGGTTTCGCTTTGGATAAAATACTTTCAGGTTTTGGTTTGTATCCAGGTGGTAGCAATGCACTGATATCGTCAACAGGTTTTGCTTTGGATAAAATACTTTCAGGTTTCAGCTCATATCCAGGTGGTAAAAGTGCACTTATATCGTCAACAGGTTTGGCTTTAGCCAAAACGTTCTCGGATTTTGGAGGTTTGTAGCCAGGAGGCAAAAGAGCACTGATATCATCTAGAGGTTTGACTTTAGATAAAATATTGCTTTTGATGGATTTTGTTGTAGTTTCTGGTGGTTTATAGCCGGGAGGCAATAAGGCACTAATGTCGTCTACTGGTTTAGCTTTGGAAAGAACCTTATTGATTATGGCGTCAGGAGACTTGTAACCAGGTGGCAAAAGTGCACTTATATCTTCTTCTTCTTTTATAGTTGCTCCAGTTGATGGCAGCTTATAACCAGGAGGCAAGAGGGCACTAATATCATCAACTGGTTTAGCTTTTTGTAAAATGGTATTACCTAGAAAATTTCAAAAAAATTAAGCATAAACTAATACTTGTATACTGTATTAATTACCTTTAGCTTGTTCCAAAGCAATTTTTGGAGTAGTCGTCGATGAAACTTTTCCTTGAGTTTTAGGCCTTGCCCTATTGCCTGGATTAAATTTCCTAATATTAACTTGTGGATATGGAGCTTTGGACATCACAGATATTTCCTCCGTAGTTGTTTCCATTTTGGTCGACAGGTTTTCTTCAATAACAGCAATGTTATCATTCTTATAGCCCCCTGACAGTAAGCCACTCGACAAATCCGATTGTACTCGATCCAGTTTATCGATAAGGCTTTCAGTAGATGCCTTTGTTTTAGGCGTAGCAGCTTCAGTTTCAGTTACAAAATCTGTAGTTGGGTCTGTAACCGAAGGTTCGTTTAAAAGTTGAATTCTTTCATCTTGATCTACAATTGAAGAAGGAATGTATCTGGCACCTGAAATGCTCCGACTTGTTTGCACTGATGCAATGACTATCCAAGAGTCTGTACTGTTTTCTACTACTACAGAAGATTCTGTGGTAGAAAGATTTTGTTGAGGTAATGTTATAGTATTATTTACAACAGTTTTACTTGTAACCACAGACACTACAAGTTCAGGAAACTTTTTTTCTTCCTTAATTTTTGGTACAGGTAATTGGGTTATTATGTTGGATGTTGCTGGTTTTTGTGTGGCTGCATCTATATCCTTATTGGTTTCATTTATTGGAGATTCTTCTTCATCTTCATATTCATATTCTTCATCATCATATTCCAATTCATTATTTCCTTTTTCATGTAATTTATCACTTTTTTGAACTTCTTCATTTTCCTCCTCATCATATTCTTCATCAGCTGCTTCTTCTGTACTATCACGTTTTGTAAGATTTAAATCGATTTGATTTTGATTATTTTTGTTGGCATTTGTAACAGGATTAATATCATCCCATTGATTATTGGTTAACGTTTTTGGAACTCTTAGATAATCAACTTTAGTGTTTAAAATCTCGTGCTGGTAACGCTGAGGTAACAAATGGGAAAAATCTGGTCTGTGGGTAGACGGTTTAACATAATCTTTGGCTAATCGAAACGGAATTGGTATATCTTGTTGGTATTGAGGCAAGGATTTTTGTAAATGGGTTGGTAAGTCAGATGTTTCTAAGTCTTTTTGCAGGAAATAATTTCTGGGCTGAAAGGATGGTACGTACGGTGCTGCAGGTTCGGTATAAAACTCTTCAGCATTTTCTCGACCAAAAAAGTAATTTTGACCTGAAACAAAGGTAAAATTAAATCGACACCTAAAATTTATAATTTTAAATAAGCCAAACCCATTTTTGTGTTTGTGTGTATACCTACTTGCTGGCTGTACTATAAAAGTGAAAGTAACTGGTTCTCAACCTTTGTGAATAAGTTATGCGAAGGTTATAGTCGCTTAATTTCTGATGAAAAGAAACAATCTAATAAACAGGATATTGTTTTGTTGCCGATTACATTTTGAGGAAAAAATTTACATTTTCCGAGAAGTTAATGAAATATAAGCAAAAGGATTCTAAAAATGTTTGTAGATTTTCATAGTTTCATCATAACTGTATAACTAGAGGGATTCTAATAAAGTGATTCAATTTATTGCTTGTCGCGGTCACGAAGAATGTAGAACAACGCACACCAACCTCATTGTAGATTATTTTATATGGTATGTATGGTGTTAACGGGTATGCATGGTGTAATATAACTGTGCCTTCAATTTTTTCAATTGGTTGACATTTATAGATGAGTTTATGGGTTTATACACAGTGGAATACCATCAGAAATGTTTAACGTAACATTTTCCGATGGGAATTTTATTCGGAATTTTAGTATAAAGCCATTGAAGTAAATGAATCAAAATATTCTGTGTGCATGGTAACTACAACACTGGAGGGTTTGATGGGTAGGTATTCTATTTTTCTTTGACATACAAAACTGAAATAAAGGTTGTTTTGAGTGGTTTTTCAACTCAGTAAGAACTCTTTGGGGAATTTGGTAAGTACCCACTCACATTCTTTGAAGAGTAGGTACTTAGGTATTCTATTTTTTAATGGACTGTTGATGAAGAAAATTTGCTTTTCAAAGGGCTTTAAGGTAAAACAAAGTTTGAATAGTTTTTCAACTCCAACAAAAACCGTTTCTGAAATTTGCCGAAAATTCACACAACTTTTTTTGAAAAGTAGATAATTTCCAATGAGATGAGAATAAGTTGAGTTCATAAACTAAACCTCCCCTTTGAAGGGCTTTAGGGTAAAACAAAGCTTGTTGAATGGTTTCCAACCTCAGCGTAAGACATTTTCAAAATTTGCAGGAAAACTCGCAACATCTTCTGAAGAGAAGTAGGTAGGTATTCTATTTTCCAATGAGATCAGGTTAACATACATTTGCTTGATAAAAGAGTTGAAGGTGGAAAAAAGGTTGTTTAATGGGTTTTCAACATTTTTTAAAATTTCTAGAAAATAATCACATCTTTTTATGACTAGGTATAGGTATTCGGTATTCTATTTTCCGAAGAAATTGAGGATTAAGGATTTTAAGGTAAAACTACGCTTTCAGTTGAATCAGAAACAATCTTTGAAATTTTGCAGAAGATGGTCAGCTCCAGTATAAACCAATTGCAAGAAATACTCGTAACATATTTTTGTGCGTATTTTATTTTTAAATGCGGCAAGAATAAGTTTGCATAACAAATTTTGGTTCTTGAAGAATTTTAAGGTGGAGGAAAGGTTAATGGACGGTCCTTCAACTTCAACCCATTGTGAATTTTGCGTGAAAAATCAGGGCATTTATTTTGATAAGTAGGTACCAATTCAATTTCTCAATAATATGAGTTTAAATTGTTACACAAAATTTGCCTGGGGAAAAGTATTGCAAAAGATAGGTTCTAGACTTAAACCCCATAAATGCTGAGCGATTGGTTACTTTTTTTTTGTCGAAATCCTCCCTCGTTTGTTGGATCTGTCCAGGCTTTAGTTTCCTATTTGATTATTTTGTCTTTCTGGCTCGGTAGATATTTCTATAGTAGTCTCTAACTCTTGAATACAATAATGTGTAGGATATGGAAATTCACTTAGGTTTACCACACATATTATTGTTTTACCTGCACTATTGTTACAATAAATTTATCATTTAAGTAACATGTTCCATCTCTTCTTATTTTCATTATAAAATTGTATTTTTGCCATTTCAGAATCAGCAAAATAATAATTCATAATCTAAGATATCTAAAAATATCCACAAAGTTCGATACAATACCAGTACTGCCATCTATCCATCATGTGCATAAAATGCAAATATCTATTCTTATTGTTTTTAACATCCTTAATTTAAATTATTATAATTTATAAACAATTAAAATAGTTCTAGTGGATTTTTATCTATTCTCTTTTATTCTACGTGGGTTTTCATTGTAAAGTGAATATGGTCTTTTGGGTGTAGTCTTCTGATTGGTTCATCTGGTTAAAACGCAGTTAAGTATAAAAAACACAGGATTGTTTTCCCATAGGGTTTCGTTTCCAAAACGTTCTCTTTTCCTGGCAGTAGTCTTGCAGACGAGTCATTTTTATTTTTATAATTTTTCCTTTACATTTTTAGATTCTCCCTTATAAATTTTACCATCAGTCACAGCTGTCAGAAAAAAGTATCTTAGTTATTTTAGAGTATCTTAGTTACTTTATAGTATCTAAGATACTGTATCTTAAATATTTTTTATTTTTTGGCAAAAGTACCTATCTAGTATCTTAGTTACTTTTTAAAAGGAGCTGTAACTTGTATCTTGAAAAAGTATCTTAGATACCGAAAAGTATCTTAGATACTGAGAAAAGTAGGTATCTAAGTTAACAAAAAGTATTAAAATTGCAGTAAAAAAAGTTCCTTGAGACATTTACTCAAACCCAAACCCGACCCAACAAGATAAGACTGGTTCAAATATAGTAGATAATAGATAGATGGTAAGTCTGTTCTCACAAGAGTCTCTGACAATTTGCAAACTGTCAGTAAGCATCGCCCATGTATGTACATGTTTTCATTACCGTCATGAACTGTATTCCTTTTATACATCAAGTTACACCGAACGTGTCGCTCTAATGCTCCTCGGAGTCACTCCAAAACACACAATTCAGATATTATCAATATTTTTTAATATCAACATTACCTAAAAGGGCTTCTTGCAACCCACACAAATTTAGTGCATCAGCGGAAAGGGGGATGCAATATGAGTGACTCGTTGCAAACTATCAGAGACTCCTGTGAGAACAGACCTAACGGGATTTCTGCGAGTTGGCTCTGTTCCAACCGACATGAGAACCGTTCTAGAAAGGTAATTTCCAGTCGATCAATTCATTTGTCAAGTAGGATTCAACTTATGAAAAATGGGTTGGCAACTGGAAATTACTGGTTCTGGAACGGTTCCATTGTCGGTTGGAACAGAGCAGATATTAAGATATGTTTGGCCAGTAAAGCTGAAGTACTATGTACAAGAAAAGTCATGATAATATCCCGATTCCTGTTTATAAGGAAAATATTGTGGACAATGGTTTTTTCGAATTTGAAGAAAACAGTGTTCGTGTGGAGCAATCCACTGATATGAGAAGCTGTATTAGTTTGGAGATCCTACAATATACTCGAGAAGAATAATGGACCTTTCTCATTTTACCTGTGCTGCGCGCGCATCTTGTGGGTGACAGATAATTAAATCGTCAATTTACTGAACACGGTCTGACCCTGACGTATTTAAGCTAACCTCAATAATCAATCAGTATCAATATTGATTGATTATACAGTTATTAATACAAAAACTGTTTATGATACAATGGTTCAAATGAGTTCTTGTCAGAATTAGGCGAAAAAGAAGTGAAACCTTTCTTTTCACAAGTTCCCAAGCAATCAAATTGTAAGAAAACAATAGTTACGTGCTCTCAACCCGAATGAAGACGATTTAAGTTGGGACAGAGATTTGAGGGTTCGTAAAATAACGATTTTTATATCAAATGCAATAATAATGTACAATTAAAGGTTTGCTGCAAACATTTTTGCTGCGGTGGGTTTTCTTTCTAATTTATGTTAATACATATTTACGTTTAAAAATAAACAAAAACAGAATCATAACCGAAATTGCACAATTTGACAAGTGGAACCAATCAAAGTCATTCCACACAGGTATCGCGCGTCATTATATGTGTCTTTTTCTTTATTGCAGAAATCTTGATAAACTATCCTTGTTGTTCATTGCATGAGAAAGGTCCATTGAACCTTCTCGAATTTGGGATTTTCAAACTATGAAAAATCTTGTTTTTGAACTTGTGGACCAAAAACAGCAATAGCTTAATCGGTTTTTCCACCTGCTATACGGAAATAATAATAAAGTATCTTAATAAGTATCTTGAAAAGTAACTTAAGATACGTATTTAAGATCCTTTTTTTAATGAGTAACTAAATACCCAAAGTAACTTCAGATACTTTTTCCAAAAGTAACTTATCTTATAACTAGATACTTTTCAAAAGTAATTTTGACAGCTCTGCCATCAGTGCATATTATCATATCATTGTTACGTTTTTACCTGATAAATCTTATCTACTCTTGAAATATAAATATTATATTTTATTTTTTTCATCTAATTGTGGGCCTCCATTTTGTGTGATTGGCGGTTCCACGTTTTTCTGAGGTGAGTCAATTCAGTTTTTGGGCTAATAAATAGGTACTGCTGCTCTGGTTTTCAGAATCAATTGTTAGTGTGGGAATATTGGACCATTTGCTCTAAATAGATGTCGGTGAAAACCAAATTTGTATGTCCATCTCTATCAACTCTTTATTGAATCCTGGCAGAGGCCTGTATAGCCATTTTCTGTTTGACTTCTTTAATTATTATCTTCTCGAAGAGAAGAGTGTTGAAAAAGGGTGTAATTCTTTAAAATAGGAATCCAGACAGGTCAAAAAATTCATTTAAAAAGTTTTAATTAAAACATCTCAAGAATTTTGACATATTCTGGATTTGATTGATTTCACCTTCAGGTTTATCATGTAGTACCTATAGTAGCTACCTTGGCATAAAAGGAAAATTTTGCCTATTTGGGGTAGAATCTAAAGATTTAATTTCTTCAAGAGCCCTCAGTGAAGGTTTGTGAAAAATAGCTGCAAACTGTAAGTGTATTTTCGATTTTGCTCAAAGTCATTCTTTGTTTAATTCTGGACTAAAAACTATGGCTGGAATAAATAACCATACAGTACCAGTGTTAGAGGCAAACAATTTCAACAATTGGCAATTTAGAATAGTACCTAACTGCTGAGAAGGAAAAACTGCCACGAGGCCATACAAAGCAATAAACCTAGTGAGGAAGCTTCTAGTGAAGAAAAAGAAGATTGGAGAATTGCTCAACTGCAAGGACTCAAATTGAAGCTTTGAAAAATGTTTTTGTACGTTCTAGCTCAGATTGTCCTGTTGGAGAACACTTTTAAATCTTTAAACTAATACAAATGAGAGGTTTGAAAACCATTTTTTGAAATTTGATGCCATTATAAGAGAGGTCAAAGAGCATGGATTTGACCTGGGCCCGTATTCTCATAACCGGGGAACAGCGTTCTCAAGAGAACGATTGCTCTTTGTCTTTGTCAGTATTATGGAAATAACAATATGGGTGACTAACTCTTGAGAACGATGTTTTTCGGGTTACGAGAATCGGGCCCTGAGTGAGAATGCCAGCGCAGTATGACACAGTAGTGACAGCTCTGTAGACCGTCGCGTCGCAAATGTTTAGTTTGATTTTGTAAAGGTTAGGCTGCTGGACGAGGAAATAAAAATGAAATCAAAAGAACAAAAAGAGCTATGAAGATAGTGAATTAGGCCTAAATTTAAATACCCAAGTAAATACCAGAACATGTTTTGTATGTTGCAGCCCACAACATTTGCAGGCTCACAGAAAAGGGAAATATTACAGGCAGAGGAAATTATAGAGGTTTTAGAGGGAATTATAGAGGATTCAGAGGTCGCCCCTATGAAAAACGCACAAGAATGAAGAAAGAAAGCATCAGGCAAATACAGCTGGCAGTGAAATTGACGGCAAATTGAGACTCAGGTGCGAGTAATCACTTTGTGCAGGAAAGTCTAGAGACCAAAATGTTTGACATAAAGGTGCTACCAAACTATGTATCAATACATATAGACATAAAAGATTATTGTGGAAAGAAATAGCACGAGCATAAGTGGAAGAAATTTACGTTACAGTATGGAGTCAAAACGGGATTTTATATGTTAACTGTTAACAGTGGACAGATTAAATGAACCTTTTGCTTACCAGTACCATATTTCAGTGGATAAGGACTTATGGCATAGAAGATTGGGTAATGCAGGTTATGACGCACTCATGCAGCTAGGTTTATCAAAATCTGATCAAATATGCAGCAGTTGTATGGAAGGAATGGCAACAAGGTGTCCATTTAATGAGAATAAGAGGACCTTGACTGCTATGGGAGATCTGAGACTTACATAGTGATGTCTGTGAACCAATCAATCCAGCCACTATAGATGGTGGTAAGTATAGGTACTTCCAAACTATATTAAGTAGATGAGTTTTTAAATTTTTTGGTGATAAAAATATTAAAAACTAAAGATGAGGCTAGCATGAATATTATTCAATATGTGACTTGCAAATGCGCCCAAATGTTGGAACATGAAGTTTAATCAAGTCATGACAAGTTTAAATTTTCGAAGCTCACAATATGACTATTGTTTATTTGTGAATGACAACATAGCTCTAGTATTATTTGTTGATGATGCTCTGATAATTGGACCAGAAGATCAAGTCAAGGAACTTGTTTCGTGAATTTAAAGTCAAATCAATGTATGAAGTGAAAACATTTCTTAAAATGGATTTGAAGAGGAGTGACAATGGCATTTAAATTACCCAGAAATGGATGATTAAAAAGCTATTAGAATGAACGAGACTCGGTCATTTGCCACTCCAATGGAAGTCAATTTTCAAACGGATATAAATGCTACAGTGGTAGATAATGTTCCATGTCGAAGATTGCTATGTAGTTTAATAAATTTATCTTTAGTGACCAGATCTGATATAGCATATAGCGTTGCTTATTTGTCCCGATTTTTGGATAAACCCACTTCATGTGCATGGAAAGCAGCTAAGAGAATTCTTCGGTATCTAAGTTGTACTATTGACTATGAACTAACGTTCACCAGATCGGACAATGAACTTATAGGTATTGTGATGCTGATTGTAAATGGATTTTTATGTTTTCATGGAAATATTCCAATAGTCTAGTATTCAAGAAAACAGAACTGTGTCGCATTGTCCTCAAGGAAGGCAGAGTACATTTCCGCAGGACTGGCAGCACAAGAACTTGTTAGTCTTATGGGTGTTCTAAGTGATTTCACAGGTAGGTATGTGTGAACCAGTGAATTTGAAACTAGACAGCTTGAGTGCCATATCTATGATAAAGAACTGTGACAATTCTAAACGTAGCAAACATATAGATATGAAATATCATTTTATCAAAGATCTATATTTGAAAGGAGTTATATTACTTAAGTATGTTTGTTCTGTAGAAAACTGTGCAGATATGAAGAAGATCGTTCCTTGTCATGTTCTTGTCTCAATTATTATTAGTTATTAGTCAGTTTTTCCTGTTATTTCACATTTCACATTGAATCTTCTACTAAAAATTGCTTTCAGTGTATTATTTGTCCATTAACTTCAAGATAATCTGTGGTCGCTCGACGATGTACCTATGCCTGAATGATCTTTAATCCCTGTCTGGTGTTTATTTGTATATTCAGGAATATTACTCTTACAGATATTGCTTTAAGTGTCTGGACAGTTTTTGTTTACTAGAAAACCCACTCCACTGACGGAGGTATTATCGCTGTTATAGGTTATAGAACATGTGTCCTGAATTTAGAGTTTCTTAGCCTTCTTCGTGTCTTCTCTTTTCGCTTAATCCGACCATACATCCCACTTTGTGTTTTTTAGCTTTTGTTCCATTTCGATGAATCTTTCTTCTAACAGTATGGATCCAGTGTTAAAGGTAGCGACTTTGAAGGGCCAACTTTTTCTAGTGTGTCCTGTTGTGCTGTGATTTATTTTGTGAATTTTTGCCTCCCACAGATTCCATGAGGCAGCCCTTATTGAGGGGGTGGGATTTGGGTGTACCCACCTGTGGACAATAACCGGTTGTTCTAAAATTCTCCATGTTTTAGGGACCATTATCTTGACCAAAAACCACCCAGCGATAAGGACCACACTAAAGGCTTCGACAGAAGAATTCAAATGAGATGAAAAATAAAAAAAAAGCTCATGAATGTCTCAAAAGAACAAGAGGTGAATGCATGATGATCTTTCAACATATTTCAACCTCAACAAAAACCCAAAGTCCGGTTTTGGTTTGTAATCGAGGACCTTTCCTGCACTTTGTTTCCTAATGACACTAATAAATGTGTCAGAAGAATTCTGTGTATTATTGACTTTAAAATAAGTAATAAAAATCCCACAAGACCTTCAACAAGGACGTTTGAATGCAGGTATATGAAATGACCAAAACTGAGGGTCATTGACGAAAAAAAAAAGGAATCACTTTGGCAAATTATCTGGTTTTCCTGCTGCAGGATAATAAAACCGATTTGATCATCGATACCCGGTTGAATTTGATTCGTTTTTAGAATCTCATTCACCTTGAACCACCCATATTTTTCTAGTTATGTTCTGTTAGGCGCGTGGGTGCCACTGTAGGAAATGGCAAGAAACAACCATACGGTACTACCTATGTATATCTCGACAGAAGAAATTACTCTTCATGAAGATTTTTTTTTCATGGAACACACACCCACATAACACATCTAAAAATGCTATCTGGATTCACTTGATTTTCAATGAAGTTATCAATGTTTCAAATGAAAAAAGTGTATTTATAGATTTTTTTTTTGGTATGCATGTCTAAACTAGGAACCTACCTACTTTCTATAGATCCAGATTAATCAATTAGTAATGTTATTGACAATGAAAGCGACATTATTTTGCAATTATAGAAAAAGTAAACAAAAGTATGCTATTTGATAAATGGTTGTAGGAATAACTTTCACAAAAATAGACTTGAGAAAATTATCTTGAACAATTTTCCACTCTACAAAGGTAAAGAGTTTCAAAATAATAAAAGTTTATAAGTATAAGCTTTATTAAGAATAAAGTGTATTGCTTAATAAGTGAAAATAAAATTAATAAGAAGGTTACATTACAAAGATATTAACAAATTAAATAGGTAGTGAACTTATCAAGGTAAAATGTTTCACAATATCCCCAATGTAACAATTAAGTTATAAAGTCCTACCTTGACTGAAACAACTGTCCAGGATGGCTAGAAGAAAGCAAAAGGTACTCCACACTTTATATTTTGTAGATGCCATTTTCATTTTTAATCAACAATTTTCACTTAATAACATTATTAACAAAACATTAATCCATTTTCACATAAAAAATTTAAAAAGCCATCCAACTTATTTATTTTACTTTCACATCGATTACCTATCAGTTACGTATTATTAAAGTGAAACGTTATTGTACGGTACCACTTCTTGCACGGGCTCGCGACAAAACTGCTGGAAAGCCCGAAGCAGTAGCAAGAAACGCGAAAGAACACCACAAGAATTAGCGGTCAGCAGGAGTAGGTTGGTACCCAATAATAATATAGTGGGGAACGTCTCTTGTGTAATAATTTTACATTTGGTTGAATCGGTATTTATATTACCAGCTTATATTATGTTTGCCTCATTTTATTGATGTTTGACTAATGCATTTCTATTTCTATGGGTATTTTAATTTGAAGTGTTTTTTTTTTTTTCTGAATTTAATATTTTTCCTAACCATTAGCCATCAGCAGAAGCTTTTAAAAATTATTTAAAAATAATGATTTCATTAACACTTATGACGCAGTTAGAGACATTTAAAAAAAATCTTAGTTCTAGAAGTTACACTGCCAGGTAGGTAGGTGCTTTCTTGGTACTTTTGTATGTGATCTAGTTTTCAGTTAAGACGTTGATTTAAGAAACTGATAAAATTGCATTTATTATTGTAGACAATAATATATGAATGTTGAACAATTTCAAAATTACTGGTTGATGTAAATTATAAATCATTCAAAGAATATTTCAGACCGCTTTTGGAATTTAAATTCAAAGCCATAGGGTTTTTCGACTCAATAAAATCCTGTTCTGACCAAAAATAAACTAGTTAACATTGAGAGCCATAATATCAAAATTGGCGAATACCTTTACACATGTAGGTACTTAACGGGCGATAAATAATTCTCTTATAATAAATTATACATGAGTATAGTTGTGTTGAGCAATGGGCAGGTACATGAAATAACCATTTAGGATTCTGCATAAGTTAACCTTATTTAGCTCGCCCAAGTAAGTATACTTCGTTGGTAATTACGGAAATTGAGACGCTGATATTTACAAAAGGGCCAATTTCAATAATGCGTCAAATAAGAGGTTTGCATTGAAGGCGAAGTGTTTTTAAACATAATTATAGTTTGTAGGCAGATTCCTTAAGATGTTTTCAATGATCACAAGTAATTTTCCTAGAGATTTGTCGTAATAAATAAAATGTCATCGTGAGGTCTCTGTCTAAAAAAAAAAAACAATGATTCCCATAATGATCATTCAAAGACAAAAATCTTGACATAAAAAAAAATTGAAACTTCAACATTTTTGTACTAAAATTCTATCAAAGAGAGAAATCTGAAATTTTTCAGTGAATCTTACTCTAGTAAAGAACTAGAAACTCTGAAAATTTCAGCTCAAATCCAGCTAAGCAAAAGCCAATGAGAAGGAAAATTTTCATTTTTCTCATCGCAATCAAATCGATTACATTTTGGTTGGAACACGATGTAGGTCATCTATTTAGTCTTTGTAAAACTCTACCAGGTTCCAATTGTGGCTCAGACCATTAACTTCTTCTTTGTGATCTTCAACTTAAGCTGAATATATGTCCACGTCCTAAGCGGAATCTTTCAACAGAACAGAGATAGTTCATCCTGTCTCTTTTCGGTCAAAGTGTTTTCAGCTTTTTCAGAGTGCCCCGATAACGGATGAATCTTCTTCTAATGATATGTGGTTAACATTTAAAAATGTTCTTACACAAGCTGCCCAAACAACTCAATCATAACGAAGCACTCAACCTAAACAGCCATGGGATTAATACCCATAATACATTGTCCGTCATTGAGGCATGTAGAGAGCTTAATATCTCAGGACTGGATTCTGATGCAAACCAGGATCGGTATAGACAATTAATACGTGAAATCCAAAAGAATCTGCAAGATAAGAACTCCTCTCTGCAGAAATTATGCACGAAGATACAGGCTCACGCTAATACAGTCCATCCAGGAGTGTTGTTCCTGAATATAAAATGTCTCTGTTGGGAGTTTAAGCCCAAAACTTGGTCAGCTGAGAACGCCGATGGACATCTCATCACCAGCTTGGAAGAGATCATTGAGATGTGGCGTACATATTGTGAGAACCTTTATTCCGATGATTACATTCAAGCCCCTTTGTTCAATTACGAACGTGAGCCGGATATTCTTCTTTCGGAAGTGGCATACCGTTAGGAAACTAGAAGCCGGCATTGATGCCCTTTTTGCCGAAACTTTGAAGTGCTTGGATGGTGACGCCCTACATTTTTTACATCGTATTCGATAGGAAGTTTGGTTTTCCGGTGTCTGGCCAGACGAATGGAGCACTTCCAATCTTTGTTCCACTTTATAAAAAGGGATTTTCGTTAAATATCCTGCAGCCAAGTGCAGTCTCGTTAGTTTTGTGGACTGGCAAATATCTTCATAGCAGGCAGGTTTCGTATAGGAACGTGGTACGACGCGCGAACAGATCTTGAACTTGAGGCAGCTTATTAAAAAGGCCAGAAAGCATTATTTTCCAGTCTATATCTGCTTTGTGGACGACTCTAAGACATTTGACAACTTAAAGGGGCCTGAACTATTGGAAATTCTTCTCTCTATGATGGGAGTTCACCACCTGATATTGTTACAACACCTATACGTTTCGTTCTGGGACGTCACAATAGGAGCGTGACCTGGGGGCGTAGGTGGGGTTCAGGTAGAGAAAAACTCGCTTGTTCAATAAGATATGTATTGATGAATATAAAGAATAATATTACCTAGGAATAATACCATGACGTCTCTTCTGCGGAGGGACGTACTACTTAGCCAACTCTGTATTATGTACTCTCTGTACACTTAGCGTGACTGAAGCTGGGTTTGAGACAGGTCCAGGAGGGGGTTTCTCAATAAAGGTGGTTTGCACTGGGAGGAGACTTAGCTAGAGGGGCTTTTCCCAATTGAGGTACTTTGCTCTAGCCTTAGTTTGCGGGTAATGGATCTCGGCGCGGTATTTATACCATTAATGCTGACTCTTCGACACACTTTGATAAAATTGATGTATAGAGTGGTATTTACTTAAGCAGTTGACTTTGATATTTCTCATACGACAGCTCCATGAGTCCAACACAGCTCGAGTAAGAATTGACGGAAACATGTCTGACCAGACTACAGCAAGAAAAGGAGTTCGTCAGGGATGCTTAGGAATAAGAAGTTTTTCTGCCGGTCTTTTTTCCAACATTTTGACTTATTAAATACCACAATAATTCACAGTACCTATGGAATTTGTTCGGTTCCAAATGATCATTTAAAAACAGTCTCAATAGTCCAAGAGCCCAGAGCCGCCAGACACAACGTATTTTCTAAAGGACAGAATATGTGGGATTGTGTAGCACTTATATGTACTATGAACGTATGTATACCCGCTAAGTTGGGTAGACGGCCAATTCACCGACACCAGGTACGAAAGCTTAAAAAGTACTTTAACTTGTTTTCTAACGCTTGATTTTTATATATGGTATTGGGGAGACTATTTTATAACTACGCCTGCTCAGCCAGACCAATCGCACCGGCCAAACATCCCCCCAGACGCAATAATAGTTTTTCCGTGAGTGTGAGCGCGAGGATACTATGCATGCGTTTGAGAGTGAGCGAGATATCTATTTCCCCCTCTTAAACTTACAGTCTACTCCAGGCTAGAGTAGAAATGGGAACGGTTTTCCCATAATGGGAAAACCGTTATTTACAAAAAATAACAGTCAACTGGCCGTCTACCCAACTTAGCGAGTATACATACGTTCATAGTACCTATCAGTGCTACTCAATCCCACATATTCTGTCCTTTAGAAAATAGGTTGTGTCTGGCGGCTCTGGGCTCTTGGACTACAACATTAATTCCTAAAAACGTTGTCTCCTAGTCTATGCATTGATAAGAATCTGGAATCTGAAATTATCAGTGAATCTCATTCTTATAGGCATACAAACCCTGGAAATTTCAGCTGATAGCTGATTTGGACCAGTTCCAGCGATAAAATTCCGCCAAGGGATGAGAAGGACGTGTTCTATTTTTAAAATCAAAGGAAATAGATTTGCTCCGGATAATCCGAATATTGGAAAGGCCGTGAGATAAACTTGTTTTGCTCCGAAGTGAATAAGGTAGGTGACACTATGCCTAATAGCACAAAAGGTACGATGAACGTTTTTTCAAAGTCCTGTCAACGTGCGAGGAATGAAATAGGAGGAAAGCGTCCAACATATGTTCACAATAACGTCTATAAACCTAGTTTTAGAAAAAAAGTTTCGGAAAATACTGTTGTACGACGCTTTTAAAATCAACAACATCAAACGTTTTCTTGATATCCATATCAGAATATTCTTTAAAAGTGTATTAAAAGGACGTTTTTTAGATGTTTGAGTTGTTTTTAAAACGTCCGTTAGTTGACTGTGTGTGTCACGGGAGGCTGCTGAGAAAAATTATCTATGAGCTTCGTCAAGAAACTTTGGAGTCGTTTGGATCATATAGGTATCTCTGGTCGAAGTCAGTGTGTCACTGCAAAGGTGAATTCTCCTCGGAGCAGCAGATCAGCTATGGAGCTTATTCTGTCTTATTTATATAAATGACTATCTACTACATCTGTGTGACATACTGAGGAGCTGCTCTAGATTATCTCGAAGGACATTAGTACCATTAAGGAGTGGTGCGACGCAAATGAATGGACTTTATTTTGCTTAACTTTACTAAAACTCAAGCAGGTACTTGGCTTTCGATGCAATATCGACAATATCGACAACATTGACATGTGAGCAGTTTACAATAATTAAATCTTCGCTTGGCCTTCAGTCTTCAGTTGCATGCTGATCTCAATTTTTAATCCCATATTATAGAACTTAACAAAGAAGATCGCGTCTGGCAGTCTGGCTGTTTCTCCGTGAGAACCGTTGCTGGAAATTTTTAGTTAATAACGTCTGTTTCGCCAAATCCATTTAGGTACTATGCGGTTGTCCACTCTCATCTTTCTAGGGTTTACCTATTTGGAGCTGTTGCTTCCACCTCTTCCAGTCAGTGTTTGAACTTCAAAAACGTGCAGTTCGATTCATTGCTAGTGCGTTGCTGAAGAGACCAGTGTAAACCGTGATTGGCGTGATTTATTTCTTACAATATTTTAACTCTTATCTCTCTTTGTCCTGGAATTGGTCAGTCTCATTGACAAACGCAAATCACTTTTACCTGCGCCCTGCGCATCAAAACCTCTCATGGTACTCGAGAAAGATATACCATACCACTTCGAATTCCGCTTTCTACGCGTATTGAAAACTGTTTTATCTATATGTACTGCCATCAAATTATATAATCACCCTCCTAAGCTATTATAATATTTCCGATATAACCAAAATTCCGCAGTTAAAAACATCTTTGCAGAGAAAAGCTCTGTTCCAACCGACATGAGAACAGTTCTAGAAATTTTAGAATGGTAATTTCCAGTCGATCAATTCTTTTGTCAAGTGGGATAAGTGTTTAACTAATTGAAAAATAGGTGGGCAACTGGAAATTACTGGTTCTGGAACGGTCCTCATGTCGGTTGGAACAGAGCTTTCTATTCTG